AAAAAAAAAAAAAGAAAACATTATGTGCAGTGAAAGAGCCTAGACCTGAAGGGCCACATACTGTATGATTCCATTTATATGAATTTCCCGGGGGAGGGAGGTGGGGGAATTGGGAGTGATTGGCCAGAAGCTTGCTCTTTGAGATGATGGAAATGTTCAGGAATTAGAGTGGTGATGTTTGCACACATTGTGAATATACTAAAAACCACTGAATTGTGCACCTAAAAATGGTGAATGTTAGGTATGTAAATTTTATGAATGTAAATATCAATACTAAAAAAAGAATAAAAGATTTTTTAAAAGAACACCAATTTCTAATGGTATGCCCCGCCCTTTGTTTTAGAGACCGGTACAAAAGAAATGCAGGAGATTCTCTTCATTTGACTCAAATTATTTCACAGCTCATGTTGAGATTGTTGAATATCCACTAATCTCAAGTTCTTAGGAGGTAGCAGACCCCAATTTATATGTACATTCTTAAAAAAAAATTGAAAGTTTTTTTTTTACTAAATCATGATCATTGTAAAAAATGTATAGAATACACTTCTTATAGTTCTATCCTATAGAAATAACCCATATATTGGTTTGCTGTATATACTATTGTAAAGAGAGATTTTACTTTTGTGATACCTCTATTTAGAAGAGATGAGGAAGGAGGAAAAAGTTTGTTAATTACCTTTTCTACCCAAGGGAAGGGTATTGTTTCAAATTGCTTTCAGTTTTAAAAATTTATAGTCTAGGGCGCCTGGGTGGCTCAGTCGTTAAGCGTCTGCCTTCGGCTCAGGTCATGATCCCAGGGTCCTGGGATCGAGTCCCACATCGGGCTCCCTGCTCTGCGGGAAGCCTGCTTCTCCCGCTCCCACTCCCCCTGCTTGTGTTCCTGCTCTCGCTATGTCTCTCTCTGTCAAATAAATAAATAAAATCTTTAAAAAAAATAAAAATAAAAATTTAGAGTCTAGGGGCACCTGGGTGGCGCAGTCGGTTAAGCCTTTGCCTTCGGCTCGGGTCCTGATCCCGGGTCCTGCTCAGTGGGAAGCCTGCTTCTCCCTCTCCCTCTCCCACCCATGCTCTCTGTCGCTATCTCTGTCTCTCTCTCAAATACATAAATAAAATCCTTAAAAAAATTTTTTTGGGGGGGGTGTCTGGGTGGCTCTGATGGCTAAGCAAGCGTCTGCCTTCAGCTCAGGTCATGATCTCCAGGTCCAGGGATTGAGCCCCACGTCGGGCTCCTAGCTCAGTGGGGAGTCTGCTTCTCCCTCTCCCTCCGCCTCTCCCCCTGCTTATGCTCTCTGTCTCTCTTTCTCTCAAATGAATATGTAAAATCTTAAAAAAAATTTTTTTCTTTTAGTCTAGGTGGTATTTTAGAGTAGCTCTTTGTTCCACCACCACATCAACAAAAACAATGGCAACAAAAACAATGATAATGAAAACACAGCCTAATTTATTGATTGCTTACTAGGTACAAGGTGCTATGCTAAGCATTATAAATACTGTATCTAATTTTTGTAACAACCTTGCCAGTCATCTTCCTTTTATGAAGAAATTGAGGTTTAAATGGTTAAGCAAAGCATTCGGATTTACTGTGGAGCTGGGGTTCAAACCAGTTCTTTTTTAAAAAAAAAAAAACAGTTCTTTTTTCCAACAAGTATTGTATTTTTAATTACTATACTCTTTTGTCTCTCTGCTTATATTCACCCATGGACTATCCCTGATGACCTGTAGGACTTCTTCAAGAGATTGAAACAAGGGTTGAGGTGAAATATGGGGCAGTTAGAATATTGACATTATGATCATGTTACTTGTTTGGTTGTTTTTCTGGTTTCCTTTTATGTGGGGCTGATAGAAGGACTATTGATTTATATTAGAGTCTTAATGTATACAGAAAGTTTTTGGTCTTGATTGAAGAATAAAATTATTCTAATTCATATGAATAACAGCTATAATCACGAAATAAAATAGGAATTAATTTGCTTTACATAATCCTATTCAGACTCTCCATAGCATGTCCCTGTGTCATCCAGACATTTTGTAAAGCTTTCATTAGGTCTTTATGAACATTACACTCCATTGGTTCTCTTCCTGCCATTTTTTTTTAAGATTTTATTTATTTGACAGAGAGATACAGCGAGAGAGGGAACACAAGCAGGGGGAGTGGGAGGGGGAGAAGCAGGCTTCCTGCGGAGCAGGGAGCCCGATGCGGGGCTTGATCCCAGGACCCTGGGATCATGACCTGAGCTGAAGGCAGACGCTTAATGACTGAGCCACTCAGGCACCCTCCTGCCTTTTTTTTTTTTTTTTAATATTTTATTTATTTTTTTAAAGTAGGCTCCACATCCAGCATGGGGCTTGAACTCATGACCTCACGATTAAGAGTCTCATGCTCTACCGACTGAGCCAGCCAGGCGCCTCTCTTCCTGCCTTCCTGATCACATTGTAACCTCTGGGCTCCCCTACCAGTCCGTGTATATACCTGTCTGAAAGCTAGTTATTCATATGTCAGTCTTCACATCTAGACAGTGAATTTTTTAAGAAGAGAAACGAAGTCTCATCTCATTCTTCCTTATAATGCTGGTGCCTAACATGGTACCTAATAGGCCATAAGCACATGCTGGGTCCTGTTAAACTAAACTGCTAAATGTGAAAACAAAGACTGCTTTATTTATCTTTATTACTTTGGTGTAAAGAGTCTTCCTACAGAGAGAAGGACGAGTCCTGCATTTCTGGCTTCCCTGTAGCCACTGCTCTCATATAATTTTTAAAGTGGAGCTGTGACTGTCTTGTGGAGCTCAAAGACTCCACTGACTAACCACTTCGTATTGAATCACGTCCATATTTCTTAGCTCTCTGTCAGGTTTTCCAGGGTCCCCTTCCCAACTGAACTTCGATTCTTCATGTACACTGTGCACTACTTAAACTGGGGACTTACTGTGCCCTCTTTGTTATTTCTGTGCTTTTGCTGGTGGTGTGTCTTGTACATGCTTTCACCATGGAACCTGAACCATCCTTCAGGTAGCTGAAATGCTCCAGGAAGCTCTATCATCTTCCTGCCTGCTGCAGCCTTCACCAAAAGAAGTCAGCATCTCCCCATCTGAACTCTTCCTAGCACTTGGACTGCAGGATAGCACTGCCCTACTAAGTGAGAAATTCCTCAAGAGCAAGCTTCTTGCCTTTGTTTTCTCTGCTGTTTTACATTAATTATTGTATAAATATACATACATTGAATTAAATATAAAAATCAAATTTTGGTTTTTTAGCTTCAAGGAAACTGGTCAAAGGACGATGTTGTTAAAAATTCTTCCTCTGCAGTGGTTTACATGGAAATTCTTAAATTCAGAAACTACGTAGGCTTAGACAATGTATTTATTTCTAGAACTTCAGTTTAGGAAAGACTTTTTTTCCAGATTTATTTTTTAAAATGTTTGTTTGAGAGAGACAGAGCACGCACAAGCAGGAGGGGCAGAGGGAGAGAATCTCAACAGACTCTGTGCTGAGCATGGAGCCCGCTTGGTCTCACCACCCTGAGATCTCGACCTGAGCCAAAACCAAGAGTCGGATGCTTAGCCAATTTAGGCACCCCCAGATATATATGTATGTTTATATATGTATTTATATATTTTTATTTATTTATTTATCAGAGAGAGAGAGCACAAGCAGGGGGAGCAGCAGGCAGAGGGAGAGGGACAAGCAGGCTCCCCACTGAGCACAGAGCCTGATGCAGGGCTCAATCCCAGGACCCTGGGATCGTGACCTGAGCTGAGCCAGAGGCAGATGCTTAACCAGACTGAGCCACCCAAGCGTCCCAGATTTATATTTACTTTAAATGTATTTACCATTCTTTGTATTGACTCTCCTCCTTTTCTAGGGCACTGTTTTTAACCTTGAATCAGAGGAGGAGGAATACCCTGGAATCGTTGCAGAAGATAGCAATGACATTTATATCCTGCCCAGTGACAACTCTGGACAAGTCAGTCCTCCAGAGTCTCCTACTGTGACCACTTCTTGGCAGTCAGAGAGCTTACCTGTTTCACTGTCAGCCAGCCAGAGTTGGCACACAGAAAGCCTCCCAGTGTCCCTAGGTCCTGAGTCCTGGCAGCAGATCGCAATGGATCCTGAAGAAGTCAAAAGCTTAGATAGCAATGGGGCTGGAGAGAAGAGCGAGAATAACTCTTCTAATTCTGACATTGTGCATGTGGAGAAAGAAGAAATTCCTGAAAGCATGGAAGAGGCTGCCGTGGCATCTGTCACCTTGCCAACCAAGGAGCTGCGGGAGGGGCTCCCGGAAGCACCAGCTCCCTTGCTTCCACATATCACTGCCGCTTCCTTGCTGAAGATGAGGGAGCCCGACACAGAAGGGATGACAGTGGAGACAGTCAGCCCTGCTCCGTCTTCGTTCGTGGAACTTGCTGAAGAAGAGAACTTGCTGAAGACAAAAGCAGCAACGGTTGAATCTGTTAAACTGGAAGAGGAGGTGACCCCCGCACTGGAACCCACAGCAACACTGCTGAGTGAAGAGGAGATGCGTGTGAGGAGAGGGGGCCTTCGAGAAGGTCCCTCCCCTGCAGGAGAAGCGAAAGCCATCCCACTGTCTGAGGGCAAGTCTATACTGCTGTTTGGAGGGGCCGCCGCCATCGCCATGCTGGCAGTGGCAGTTGGGGTCGCACTGGCTCTCAGAAAGAAATAGCAGATTTTTCAGTAGAGAAAGAAAATAAAAAAGATGTCAGGTTTTAGCTGTACTGACTGAATTTGAACCACCAACAGCTGATTTGGACATTTGTGGAACACTCTGGGATAATGGGGGACTTCTGCTCAACAAGGCAGTAAATTGATCCACATAGTAGGGCTTCAGGTAGAGAGCATTCACGTTTGTCTGATTTTAAGTTCCAAGGGCCTCGACTCCTGCTAAATTTGGAATCTTATGCGTTAAGCACTCCCTCTAGAACAGGGTTTCTCAACCTTGGCATTAATGACATCATGATTAATTCTTCGTTGTGGGAGGCTGTCTTGTGCACTGTAGGATGTTTAGCAACATCCTTGGCCTCTACCCACTAAATACAAGTAGCACCCTTCCCCCAGTTGTGACAATCAGAAATGTCTCCTGACATTGCCAAATGTCCTCTGGGGGCAAAATTGTTCCCGTGGAGAGCCACAGCTCTAGAGGGAAAGGGTTAATTTAGGATCATCTGGGATAGAAATTCCCAGGCAAAAGGGCTCAGCTGTGGGCTCCTCAGCTACTGATTTGTTCCTGCCCTTGGAATTTCATCTTTCCTGGTGAACATGGCTGGGTTTTGCAGCCATTCTTTTGTGGCTCTTCTTTTCTTCCCCACCTTCTTGGTCCTGTAGCGTGAGGGTGCTCTCCCCTGATGTCTCAGCTGCCTCTCAGGTACTACACTGCTCCTCTTCACCCCCAGGTTCTTTATAAGGCCCCATGGGAGAGTGCTTGGTCCGCACCCATTAAGTCCCTGATGCTTCCTACAGCTCCACCTTGTAAAGATGTTGCCGTTAGTCATCTTAAAAAAAATAAATATAAAAGAGACCTAGGGTTCCCTGCCTGTGGATGCGAGGGCAAGTAACTGGCTAGAGAGTGGTATTTGTCTCATTTATAAGCAGGATGACTTAGATGGCCAAGTGTCTTCTGGCCCTTTTGTGTATGGCCACCCTTCTGAGCTTATGGTTACTTGCTGGCAGCATCTCTGTTGCTGGATGGTCACTGTCTATAATCTGGACTGTGTGTTTTCCCTTTATCTGGCCTCAGTCTTCTTAACTGGTCAACCAGTTTCTCTGCGGTCTCTTCCCATGTGATAAGGATTTTCATACTCGGGCTTACAGACCAATTGAATCATAACTCAATAAGAGTTATACAGAAAATCTCCCTAAATACCATTGAAATAAAAAGTAGGAAAAGAGAAGCTTGAATTTCTTGAGGCTACCCTTGAGATTCTAGTTTGGCTTTCAGAGTTCAAGAATAAGACTTCTTCCGTGAACTCTTTACAGTCCAAATGCCAGAGTGATAAACCAAAATGATTCTAATCAGTATGTGCTAGTTGAGAATCAGTATAACTTCTTTCATCTGGCTGATCCCATCCTTAACGGGGGGTGGGACTATGTCTTTTCATGTGTGAGGGTCAGTGTCACTATGCAGGACACACATGCTTGAGACAGGTCATCTCAGATTTATCTTAGTAAATGTAACAAATTACTTTTTAGATCCTGAAATTTGTAATAAAATTACTTTACTATCCTGATCACCAAAACTTGATGTTTTAAATGTGCTTTCTTTTTTAAATTTATTTTTTGAAATGAAATCTTCTCCCTAAAGCAATACTATTTAAAAATTGGTCAAGGAAAGGTCTGAAGTGTGTTTGTTCAGCTTTATCATGCAACGTGTCTTTATGTTCTGAGTTTTAGTGTCTTAGGGAGTGATATTTTTAAGGGTTTTGGTGCACTTTGATTAGGATAGCTAGAGGTGAGGGGGGGAAATGGGATTAATGTAGTAAAGATTATTTTCCTCCTTGGACTCTGACAGTTGGCTCAGACATTGGGTTACTCTGTATTCTAATTGCTACTTTTGTGTTTGCATAGGGTAAGAGCAAACTGGTGAGTTATCTTGATTTTTTTTTCTCTTTTATAATAAAATATTTTCCTTCCAATGTTCACACTTTTAAACTCTGGATCCTCAAACCCATTAGCTAAGACACATGTAAGTACTAAGAGAAGCCAGGTTTATTTTGGAGCTACTAAAAGGCCATCTGTGGCTTAGGATATTTGGGTCTGTGTTCTCCACAGAAGGAGCTGCCACGTGCTGGTTTATCGTCCCATCTGTTGAACATTAACTCAAAGTGATCTGGCCCATTGTATCTTCCTGGGTAATGGTTAATATTCTTTTCCATTGGCTTTCTCTAGAGTGATTCACTGTTAGTTCCAAGTAATAGGAACGTGGTCAGTGTCCCCATTCCTTCTTCACTTCCTTATCCTCAGCCTCTGGCAGTGGAAGGGAATACCCTAGTAAGGACTGCTTCTTACAGCAGCTACTTTTGCTATGAAAAAAAAAAAAAAAACGTTATTTCTCAATCTCCCACCTCCCTCTTTTTTGGTGGCGCTGGTAGTAGGCCATTTCTTCTCCCCCTCCTAACTTATATTACATCTGAATCTAAAGTAAAAGGCAGATTCAGGATAAATCCAACTTGCTTGTGGAGCTCAAATGTGGAATTAAAAATATCACCATTTATCGTTCCTCATTCCTTGAACTATTCAGGAAAAGTTTGTGTAAGTCCTCTAGAATTCTTCTTAATTGCTTTATTGAATGTAATGATTTCTGAAAACTTGGCAAAAAGCCAGTGAAGATTTCTTGAGAAAAATACCAGAATTAATGCTATTTTATCTTCTCTGTATTAAAATAATAATATTTCTGGGCCCAAAGAAGTCAGTCAGTATCTACAGTGTGCCTTAGGGGACTCTTGTGATCATCACTGTCCTCTAGAAAGCTTTCTAGAAACCAAAAAGCAACTGTTGGCTATCTGGTTCACACACTGACTGCACAAAGGCATCCTTGATACCTGCCCTCACCTGTGTTTCTGTACCATCTCATCTATCAAATGTAGCTGTTCCCTGGGTTTGTCCTGGGGGAATAAACAGTGAGCCCAGAGATGGGGTTTTTTGAACCACAGCTACCATTAATTTCTTGTGGAAATTAATGTCCACAGCCTTTGTGCTAATTCTCTCTAATAATAATACAGGAGTAATGCCTGCTCCTTGCCTTTTTTCCCTAAAGGCATGACGTGGACAAGTGTCATATGCACAGAATTTTGAAATCATTTTAAGAGATGCTTTATAGAAATAAAAGGTACTCTAGATAAGATTTTTGTCCTTTCTTTTAATTTCTGAGGTCTTTTTACACAAATTTATCTTTCAAAGAACTTGAGGTGGTGATCATGTTTCACAGAGAGCCTGTCGACTATTTGGTTGCTTTATAGAAACAGTTTCTGGCCTCTGAACCGATTTCCTCACAAGCATGACAGTAGTCCCTTTGTCTGCAGCTTCATTTCCTGTGGCTCAGTTACCCGCGGTGCGCCGCGGTCCAGAAGCAGATGGTCCTCTTTCTGATGGATTCTCAGGTCGGTAGTAGCCTAATGCCTCGTCACAGTGCCTGGTCATTCACCTCCCTTCATCTTATCACATTGGCACCTTAGCATCTTACATCATGACGAGGGTGAGTATCAGTACAAGAAGATATTCTGAGAGGGAGAGACCACATTCACATAACTCATTACAGTATATTATTATAATTGTTGTATTTTATTGTTTTAATCTCTACCATGCCTAATTTATAAATTAAACTTTACCACAGGGATGGATGTAGAGGAAAAATCATATAGAGGGCTCAGTACTATCCACAGTTTCAGGCATCCACTGGCGAGGATAAGGGGGCTCTACCCTATTTCATTTTAAAGTCTCAGCAACACAGTACTAGAAGGTTTCTTCTCTGGAGGACTGAGATCTGCCATTAGTGATAACCTCCTCCTGTTACTCCATTCATCACTTAGGAGGTTCAACTGTGAGATGGGTTTGAGTTTAGGGTGCATATTTTTTTCTGTATTAGAATATCTTTTTCCTTAAAAAATGTGGGTCATTTTAACAAATAATAGTTGAACATTTAGCTTGCCAGGGATTGTCCTAGAGCGCCCTTACATACCTTAGTCCATCTTCACAGTTGTAATTCATATTTGTATTCCTTATCCCCAGTTTACAGAATGAAGAAACCTCAGAGTTTAATGACTTTTCAAAGGTCTTCTGGCATAGGAGAGGCAAAGGCAAGGGTGATAATTTTTCTGACTCCAAGTCTAGTGCTTTTCTCAGTTTTTACCATTTTTGTGACCCTGCCAAGCAGGATTGGTAGGCTCCCTACAAATGGTTGTGCCAATCATACACTGCACTAGGGCGGCCAAGCTCACCCGACTGAAGGGAGATTTTTCTTGATTTGTACAATGGTTCCATATGGTCTAGTCCTAAGTACTGAGCATGTTCGAAGGTTATGTCCAGGGTTATTCCCAACTTCTGATTCTACCAGATGTTTTCCCCTTAAATACTGAATGAGGCGCCTTATGGCTAAAGAATTATAGGTTACTGCTGGTACAGATCTTTTTCTTTTTTTTTTTCCAAAGATTTTATTTATTTGACAGAGAGAGATACAGCGAGAGAGGGAACACAAGCAGGGGGAGTGGGAGAGGAAGAAGCAGGCTTCCCGCTGGGCAGGGAGCGCGATTCGGGGCTTGATCCCAGGACCCTGGGATCATGACCTGAGCTGAAGGCAGACGATTAACAACTGAGCCACCCAGGCACCCCGGTACAGATCTTTCATTAGCATTTTCAGTTAATGTGTCAGATAGTACGTCTTTCTGCTTGTAAACAAGGGTTAGGGTTAGGGCAGTCTGACACAGGAATCTTCAAATGATTTGAAGGCAGCACCTTGACACTTTCTCTCCCCTAGTCTGTTCATTATTTTCCTTTTCCCCTGCCCATGCCATGAGTTGTGAAGTGGGGTACTTCTAGGTGTTGCTTGGCCTCTCAACGTCACCAACTCAAGTGAGCTGGTCAGGCACCCCCACAGGCACATCTTGCTCAGAAGCTGACACTAGGTGACTTTCCAGTGAAAAATCTTGTTCCACAGCACACTGGGCAATGTAAAGTTGGTAGTAGCCTTGGCTATAGAACACCCATTTCTTAAAATTTAGCCACTATTTCTTCGTTACCTCATATACACAGCTCCAGAGAGTGGAAATGGTCGGTTGTGTAACTAAAATATTAATACATCCTGTCTTCCCTTTATTTACACAAGACTAGCCTCTGTCTGGCTTGCCATGTTCCTGTGAATTAAAACCAGTAGTGTTCTCTACATGTTTATGTTTACACTGCAATAGCTCTAGCCAGGCAGCTGCTCCAATCGCTCGCACGCTCAGGTTGGAAATGTTCTCAGGGATATTTGCAAGGCCTTGTAATAAGTTAAAAAGTTGCAGCTGGCTTAAGGTGATCCTTGCCCTTTCTCACCTTCTTAGGGGAAATTTTATAGTAATGTTGCTCAGTGAGTGTTCTTTGCACCACTAGGAGAAACTGGCTAATCGGTGTATCATGAACAAAAGTTTTGACATAGTTTTACTAAGTTTGTTTCAGGAATAAAAGGAAGTTGAAGTACAATTTTTCCTATTAGAGTCTGGAATAACTGGTTCCTGGTTTCTAGCAAGACAGTTGTATTACATAGATTAGATTGGTCCTTGGCCAGCACCAAAGGAAAAGATAGAATATTTTTCCTAGACCTGTGTTTTTCCTGCTGTCTTACCTAGTCTTCCATTTCTCTTTTCCTCCACATTAAAAGTGCCTCTTCCTACCTCGTTCCTTGACCGAGTTCAATTTATTATTGGTTCTAATGTTCTCATCTCAAAATTATTGGAATTAAACGGTAATTTTGGTAATTAACATAAGCATTTCACTTAAATGCATGTATTTTTCTGTATGAATTTCCATTAGCTCTCCTAACAGCTCTGATTTGCTCATTTATGTGGGTTATTCTCGCTCCTCCTTTTCCCTCCTGGTAATCTGCCTTTTGTCCAGGTCTACTCTTCATCAGGGAAAAGGAACAAAATTCAAATCTATGAATTGTGCTTTCTGTTAGAAGCAGTGTGTTGGGGAGAACACATTGGAAGTTGAAATAAAGTGAGATCTGAAGATAGTTGATGGACTCCTTTCTGTTCATATGGTAACCTTATGCCCTTGACCTCGGAGGGATCATTTCAAATAATCTTGTGGTCTTCATAAGTACACACTTGCTTTGCCCTCAGGTTCTGAAAACATGATCATAACAGCCAAAGGACACTCCCTATTCAGGTTTCCAGTCAGCAATTAAATTGTTAGGAAATAAAAGCACACTCTGGCGCTGTAACCCTTTGAGGCAGTCCTGAGCATCTCCGCAGTCCGTGCTGGATCCTGCATGGTGAGATCAGGAATGATTTAACCTTCTGAATAGACCACATAGTCCATCTGACTTTCAGATACGCCAAGCACCTCCTGGAGAAGCAAGCTTGTTTCTCTTTAACCAAGGAATTTCCATCACTTAATTCAAATATTTAAAAAACCAGGATGAAACACATTGTCTGAATTAAAAATTTTCAATCATATCCATGAGGATTATGTTCCCAGCGTAAAATCCACCAGCTTCCAGGATATGCCTGAGTCATTGTGGCTGGGATATGCCCAAGACTGGAACACTTGTTTTTGATACAGTGGACTCTTCATGATGCTGGCTTGGGAACAAGAGGTGATCATTTTGCTTTATGGCAGAGAAAGTCAAACTTGGCCTGAAAAAAAATGTACACCAAAATGTGTATATAAGCTGCATTAAAATGGTGGCCTACTGTTAAGCAAAACAATGGCAGGTGAAGGTGCTGTGAAAAGTTGTATTATGAGAATCTGAGATTATTGTTTTAGAGCCCTTTTCTCTTCCATTAGAGTTGACTTTGTATTTAAATTGTTCCTTTTGGAAGAAAGTATCTCCTCTCCCTAGTGAGAATCTGATTGAACACTTTGATACATGTGTGGATGAGTATGTATGTGTGAATCGATTTCTGTCCACCGTACTATGAATCCTTCCAAAAAAAAAAAGTTCAAAACATAACAGTATTACTGGAAGATTTCCAAATGGTGGTCTTCATACTGCACAGCTTTTAGTATCTAAAACATATTGCACATAACCAGGTTGTGATCCAGCCCTAGTACAGTATGTATTTAATGCTGAACAACGCATTTTTTTTTTTTAAAGATTTTATTTGAGAGAGAGAGAACAGAGGGAGAGTGAGAGGGAGAGGGAGAAGCAGACTCCCCACTGAGCAGGGAGCCCGATGCGGGGCTTGATCCCAAGACCCTGGGATCATGACCTGAGCTGAAGGCAGACGTTTAACCGAATGAGCCACCCAGGCGTCCCTCATTTTTCCTTTCTGATTAAACTCTCAAGGAACAGAAAAGTGTTTTTGGTAACAAGAAAGTGTCATACTCACAGTAACAACAGTATTACTGGTTAAGTGAAACGTGTGATGTGAACCCAGCATCTGCCATCATACTTTTAAACAGAATGCTAGGAAACACTTATTGCCGGGAACAAGAGACCGGTGTTGCACTGTTTTTTGTTTTTTAAGATTTTATTTGACAGAGAGGGAGATAGCGAGAGAGGGAACACAAGCAGGGGGAGTGGGAGAGGGAGAAGCAGGCTTCCCGCGGAGCAGGGAGCCCGATGCGGGGCTCGATTCCTGGGATCACGACCTGAGCTGACGCTTAACGACTGAGCCACCCAGGCGCCCCTGTTGCACTCTTTCTAAATGTAAGCTCTCCCTGGTTTATTCTGGCACTTCCCAAATGACTTATTTTGGTATTACTTGCATTCTGTGTCCCCAAGAAAGGGAACCACCTCAAGCGTTGAATTTTTAAAAATCTAACTGTTCTTTCATCTTTTATGCCTAGAAAGCCTCTTTTCTTTAGATGTAGCTTCTTGGGCAAGATCAGCTGAGGAATACGGGAGGCAAATGAATACGTAAGATTATTAACCTATTTCCCCATGGGATGTATGCAGTAGCCTCTGGTATTCCATCAGGCTAACATTTTTAGTAAAGCTCTGACTTCTTGGAAAGAGAAAAAAATGCACTGAGTTACCTGATTTTGGAAACTGTGGTTGACTTGGGCCCTTAAATCCCACCACACCTTTTAATTGCCTATGGTTCTCCCTGACTCAATAAAAGGAAATCAAGTTGAAAAAAAAAATTGCATGTTCTGAGGCCTGATTTTCCCATTGAGTAGAGAACTTTAGTCCAGAACCTCTTGTACTGTTTGGTTTTTATGTTCCCTATTTTGAAAGGAGTTTTTCATTTGTGAGGGTATGTGCATCCGTCTCCAGTCCTTGCTCTCCTCAAAACACGATCTTGCCTGCTGTAAGACCATGCCCCAAGGTTGCACTTTAATAAACAGTAAAGTTGGCATTTTTTTAAACAAAAAAAACATTGTTTTTTTCTTCTGCCTTACAATCTGTTCTTAAATTTAATTTTCAAGTGAAGTACAAAAGAAATAAGGGCACAATGTGTAGTAGATTTAGAAGATGGTATGAAACTCAAATATGTGCAAGTTGACATTTTCATTCAAGTATGTTAATGTAAAGATGTCTAAACGGATCACCGGCTTAAAACATCATCTTTAAAAGAGAAATAAATAGCTATTATCTCACGCCTGTCTTTTCTAAGAACTTTGTTTAAATTGCTGTGGCTCCGTCTCAGCTGGAGGCAGCTGTACTGTTGTCACCATATCAAGTTTTAACCAGTCGTGCTTTGGCAGAGGTGTCCACTCAGTCCATCTCCTACAGCAAGAAAGGAAAAATAGCCAGAATTAACTAGTGTAATTCACAAACCAGGATTCCGTTCTTAAGGACTCTGGTGCCACAATCAATAGAAGTGAAACTGGTGTTTGTGCAAAAAACACACTCTCTGGAGTCCTCTGTTATCCTTAGATCCCTGCATCCTCCTTCTTGCTACATGGGAGCAACCACAAAAACACAGGTTTTGCAGGTGCTGAGCTCGGGATCTTCACATCTGTTGAGTCACTTACGGTGCCAAGAATCACCTTAGTGTGTCTGAGGAATGAAGATTCTGTTTCATTCCCTCAGTATTTTTTTTTAGCTTTTGTTTATTTGTTTGAGAGAGAGAGAGGACGAGTTGGGGGAGGGGCAGAGGGAGAAGCAGACTCCCCGCTGAGCAGAGAGCCTGACACGGGGCTCCATCCCAGGACTCCAAGAACATGACCTGAGCCGAAGGCAGATGCTTAACTGACTGAGCCACCCGGGCGCCCCTCATCCCTTCAGGATTTGGTAAGCTGTTTATACAGATTGCTGCTGACATCTGCCCACTTATTCCCCCTTCAGATGGTTGTTGGTGAAAGCTGTCCAGGAACCTTCTCAGGCTTACCTTCTTCCAACAATTCAGCTTGGTTTAATGTACTTGAGTCAAGGGGCGCCTGGGTGGCTCAGTTGGTTAAGCGACTGCCTTCGGCTCAGGTCATGATCCTGGAGTCCCGGGATCGAGTCCCACATCGGGCTCCCTGCTCAGTGAGGAGCCTGCTTCTCCCTCTAATCCTCCCCCCTCTCATGTACTCTCTCTCTCTCTCTCATTCTCGCTCTCAAATAAATAAATCTTTAAAAAAAATATATACTCGAGTCAAGATTTATATTCATTCTGTTTTAAAATGCTGGCATGGGGTGCCTGGGTGGCTTAGTCCATTAAGCATCCAACTCTTGATTTCAGCTCAAGTTGTATGTGAGATCAAGCCCTGCATCAGGCTCCGCACTGGGCACGGAGCCTGCTTAAGATTCTGCCTCTCCCTCTGCCCCTCCCCGCAACTTACGTGTGCGCACGTGCTCTCTCTCAAAAAAAAAAAAAAAAAAAATTTAAAAAAAGTGCTGGCACAAATGAAGACCATGGCAGACAGAGAAAAAAGGCGTTGAGACTTATCAGTAAATATTAACAGGGTTAGATGCCTGGGTAATGCCTCTGACACATAAAATCCCAAACATTCACTAATACTTTCAAATTTATAGATAAGACACATCAACTTAATTTCCAGTTAAAGTGAAGCAACAGACTTTGAGGGCTATCTGGCTCTTCTTGGGCAGCATCACGAAGAACTGTTATTTTTAATATCTTGGACAGGTTTTATGGGGAAGATTTTAGATAGTTTTCCCCCCTTTTGACTATTTTGGTCTCTCTCCCCAACATCCTTTTTTGGTAAGTATGTTTTTAAATGTAAATTATGGGGCACCTGGTGGCTCATTCGTTAAGCCTCTGCCTTCAGCTCAGGTCAAAATCCCAGGGTCCTGGGATCGAGCCCCACATCTGGCTCCCTAATCAGTGGGGCGCCTGCTTCTCCCTCCCAACTTGTGCTCTCTCTCTCAAATAAATAAAATCTTAAAAAGAAAATGTAAATTATACTTAATGTTTGTGACCAGGTGAGGGTGAGAGCAGACGGAAGAAGCTCCGCTGGGGATACTCCTGCCACATTCTTTCATGCTCCACACACCTACCTACACCATCCTATTCTGATTCTAGCAATAGTATAGTATAAAGTATGCTCTGATAGTAGTGTGTCTTTTTTTTTCTTAAAGATTTTATTTATTTGAGAGAGAGAGACACAGCGAGAGAGGGAACCCAAGCAGGGGGAGTGGGAGAGGGAGAAGCAGGCTTCCCGCGGAGCAGGGAGCCCGATGCGGGGCTCGATCCCAGGACTGAGCCACCCAGACGCCCCTGATAGTAGCCTGTCTTAAAAATAACGTTGATGGAGCTCAAAAGGGCATTAGGTGCTCATCACCACCTTCTACAATACAACTTTGTCACAGAGGCAAAACCAAGCCTTTCTACCTGAGCAAGAAGGTCTCTAAACCTCTCTTGTGGTTTGGTCACCAGAAGCACAGGGAGAAAGAAAGAAAGAAGCCCTGCAGCAGACAGTTCTGCTGGGTTTCCAGACCTTAGAGGGACCAGGCAGAGACCAAGAGGATTTAGTGAAACACCAAGGAGCTGACATCACCGGTTCTTACATTTCTGACTAAGTTCCTCACATAGGTGAACAGGTTCTGGTTAATAAAGTTCACTGTTGTGCGAAAGACATCACGGAGCAAGGATGGTGTGTGATCGGCCACCTTTTTGGCCAAGAGCATGACCAACATCAGCATGGTCTTCTCCTCCTCCATGTCCGTAGGGTAAGTCTGCATGATCCGCTCCAGCGCAGTGGCGAGGTACCTCCTTCTGTCCTGCATGGGTGAAAAGAGGGTCACACGGAACCGAGTTTACTAATATTCTGCCCTCTGAAAGGAAAACAGTCCTCCAATGTTAAGTAGAAAGCAGCTTTCATTTCTTAGGGAGGAACTTATTAAACAGCTGAGGAGGTTGGAGGAGAGAATGAGAAATTATTTAATTTTGAGAGACAATGGAAAGGGGAGACTGAGCTCACTCCCTGCAGCTGGACACTCATTCACCAAATACATTTTTCTTGAGCCTGTGTGTTCACTTTAGAGAATGGAACCAAAGAAGCCCGAGTCCTTCCCTGCCTCTAAGACACTTAAAGTCAAGAATTAGTTAACTACCCAAGATGTCTTACATCTATCTTACTGGGGCAGACCTAGCTCCAGGGTAGGAGATGAAAGGGGGCCTAAATGTGACCTTCTCGCCTAGCCTACAGGGGAGAGGCACCCCACAGACCATTAGACCTGAAAGGACCTTCAAGCTCATCAACTCAGACGCAAAGTTCAGTTAACATTGTGGGAGAGGTCCTGAGGCAGAACATGACCATGCCTATGACAGCTGCTGGAGAACTCCAGACAGGGAGAGATCCCTGGAGTAGAGACAGACCTGCTTACAGGCAGGAGGCTGACCTGGCTGACTGAACCTTGGGGGATGAATACATTTCTGTGTAGTGAGGAGCATTTGCATTTTCAGGTGGTGGTCAAAGGATGGAACCATTCTCTCCTCTGAACTCCTGCAGACATAGATTTGACAGCCTTCCAGCAGTTCTCCCTCCCACTATGTTTCTTCAGGAAGGATAGGTACTTTATGGTGCCCGGCAAGGGTTAGAAGTTCTGTTAGTATCTGTATATTGATTATAACCATGAAGTTAAGAGTAGCAGGCTAAATAAAATGTCACTTTTCTTGTGACTTGACATTCTCTACTTACATTTTTATTCAACTGAAGAAAGAATAAGTTATTTCTGGAAGAGTCATACACATTTTATTAATCTGTTTAGAGGCTTTTGTATCCAAAATCTTAACTCTGACTTAAGGTTCAAGTTTCCTAAATGTCAAGTTAATTCTGAAATACAATTAACCATGCTATGATTCTATTTCCAATTCTTTTGTAGGCAGTCATGAATTGAGTCACCTCACTGGACACTGGTCTGAGAGGAGACAGAGGACAGACCTCGATGGTTTAATTAACAACAGAAAACTAAAAGACAACCTACTGAATGCGAGAAGATATTTGCATATGAGATATCTGATAAAAGATTAGTATCCAAAATACATAAGGAACCTCTACAACCCTAAAAAACAAACAATCCAATTAAAAAATGGGCAGAAGACATGAACAGACATTTCTCCAAAGACGACATCCAGATGGCCAACAGACACATGAAAAGATGCTCATCATCACTCATCATCAGGAAAAGGCAAATCAAAACTACAATGAGATATCACCTCACACCTGTCAGAATGACTAAAATCAGCAACACAGGAAACAACAAATGGTGAGGATGTAGAGAAAAAGGAACCCTTGTGCACCATTGGTGGGAATGCAAACTGGTGCAGCCACTCTGGAAAACAGTATGGAGGTTCTTCAAAAAAATTAAAAATAGAGCTACCCTGTGACCCAGTAATTGTACTACTGGATATCTACCCAAAGAATACAAAAACACTAATCGAAGGGATACATGCACCCTATGTTTACAGCAGCATTATCTACAATAGCCAAACACTATGGAAGCAGCCCAAGTGTCCATCAATTGATGAATGGATAAAGAAGATGTGGTATATATACAATGGAATATTATTCAGCCATAAAAAAGAACGAGTTCTTGTCATCTGCAACAACACGGATGGAGCTACAGAGTATCATGCTGAGTGAAATAAGCCAGTCAGAGAAAGACAAATAACTATGATTTCGCTCATATGTGGAATTTAAGAAGCAAAACAAACAAAGGGAAAAAAGAGACAAACTGAAAAATAGACTCTTACTATAGAGAACAAACTGCTGGTTACCAGAGGGGAGGTGGGTGGGGGATGGGTGAAATAGGTGTAGGAGATTAAAAGCAAACTTTTCTTGTTGTGCACTGAGTAATATACAGAACTACTGAATCACTATATTATACACCTGAAACTAATATAAGACTATATTAACTACACTGGAATTAAAATTTTAAAAAAACCTGACCACTGAAAAAAGTTCTCACACTTCCTGACTAACCCAGAAAAGGCAGTGGTGGATTTTCTCACTTACTTCTTCCGATAGGTTCACATTCATAAACTGCATTGCCAGGTTATTCACCAGTCCTGGGTGGATGCTGCGATCCATATTGTCCCCTATTTCGGCGAGCTGCCTGGCGATATCCTGGATGATTTCTTCTTGACCCTGAGAATCTAAATGTTCAGGCAGGGGCACAGAGACACAGCAGATTCAGACGATGGCCCTGTCTGACCCCTCCCACTCCACCCTGTACCAGAAAAAGAAAGGGATTCTGCTTTGGAAGAGAGCCGGCCCGTTTGCACCGCTCACCACAGTGGGCTCGCTGAGCACGTGCTATGCTGGTAGAGCTGCAGCTGAGGGCAGCCAGGGCGGAGCGCTGGGGCCAGGAAAGGGTCTAAGTGAGCAGAAGACTTGGAGAAGCAGGCCCCTTCCCACACACAGAGTCAGCATTTGTCTGTGAAAAGGACAGTGATGCCAGGGCATCTGTGGCATGAATCTGGTGGCAACCTTCCCAGCTGCCAGCTCTACCCCATCACGTAATAGGTGTCGGCCTAAGAAGCTGTTAGGGCGGGGGCTTCGCCGCAGATGGAGGTAGAGCCGCACATGTGCCAGAGAGATCAACACCCCGCTTGCCCTGCCACCTGCACCCCCCCGCCCTCTGTTCCTCCCTCAACACTCAATACTACACCATTTATCTGTCAGTGTTCTTTGTCTGACTCCCCTGCCAGAAGGTAAGCTTCCTAAGAGCTCTGATTTTTAAATGTTTTGTTTACTGTCAAACACGCAGCCCTGAAAAGGCAAGGCACACGGGAGCTCCATCAACAACTGCACAATGAACGAGTCAATGAACAAATCCTGTCCCTGCTCCTAGTAAGCACTCAATAAATGCCAGCTACCATTATTTCTCCCATTAAATCTTGTATTTCTGCTGTGTTTGCACCTTCCCTCTGGCTTCTTATTTACCCAGGACAGAAATCTCAATCTCCACAATGCTTGCAGCCATCCTCAAGCAGTGGTCACATCTTATCTCAGAGCACAGACACACCTGTCTGTCGTAGTGTCCCCAGCGCCACCACCCGGATGTGGGTTCTCCGTCAGCTCTCATCTGGATCATGACGGCAAGCTCCGAGCCCCCTCTCACTGCCCTCCAGGCCCTTCCCCACTCTCCATGATATGCCAGCGAGGCACTGAGGTGCAAGAGTGAAAGAGGTTTTCAGGGGGTTGGAGGTACTGCTGTGACCCTGGGGAGAGCGCCTCCTTAAATTCTGTGCCCTTAGCGTTTCACCTGCCCCACGGTGGTCTTGACAATGACCCATGGAGTGTGGCTAGGATGTCACTTCTCTACTCCTTCATGGGCTCACACCTGCTGAAGTCACAAGTTGCAACCAAGCCTCAAAGCACCTTGGACCTTAACTTGCACTATTCCCTCCAAACACGCTAGCCAAACCCAACTATTCACATTACCTTTAACAGGCCCCAGTCTTTCCGCCTGCAAGTGTTTGCTTACACTGTTGCCATTGCCTCTTACCAGTTCCCAAAGAGCCAAAATGTACCCCTTCCTCCACAGGCCAGCTCAAGTGCAGTTATAGCCATGCAGTCTCTCCTGACTCCTCGGAGTACCCAGCCTCTCCGGAGCTCCCGCTGTACTGACTGCCTCACTGATTTCTTTGAGCTTTTTCACTTGGTTCCAGCAAACTTCAGGAGTCCTGGCAGATTCAGTCAGTATCCAGCTGAGTAAATGAATTCACCAATGGAACTGTGGTATACAGAGCCTCTATTCTACTCTATTAAGTACCTGGGGCAGGTACTTAACCTACAGGCCAGTTTTCTACCAGAGGTGAGGTTTGGTGTACAGCCCCATAATCACTTTTTCAAATGACATTTGAGTCAAGCCAGGCTTTGCAGGCTACAGGGCAAGTAATGGTGTAGAAGAGCAAAGGACAGCTCAGGGTGCAGCCTCTGGCTGCAGTCAGCCCTGCAGCAGCTTTGACAGCCAAGCCATTCCTGCCCCCCCATCCCCTCCCTAAGAGGACCAGTTGCTCTTAATCAAGTTTAGGGCCACCCAGAAGATGCGGTGGCTGGATTCTAAAGCACAGAAAGTCTTTGGCACACCCTGGCTTGTGGAGGAACTCCTGCCATACCCCACCCACCCAAATTAAGATAGAGCTGGAGGTCCAAAGGCTGGATCAACTGTTGGTCCCCCCCATGGCCACCAGAGGGCAGTGCAATCTTGGATGCGAGGAGATTTCGTGGAGGCCGGAGGATTTGACTCCACTCTCATAATACCTCATAAACACCTGGGAATCTTCCACCCTAGAACCCGCTGGTACAGATAAGTCGGGCCCAAGGACTGTGCATTTTGAAAATGTTCCTCGTGGAATTCCAATGTGCCCAGAATCTAGAAGAGGCTAATTCTCAACATGCTTCCCAGCCCTGCTCCCTCAGCCTTTAGCTCAGGATGGCCTCCATCTGTGGAGGCTGCACCAATGGCACAGGAGTAAAAAGTAAAGTTGGAAGAGGTAGCACAGGGATGTGGGTGAGGAGAGGTGGAGTCTGGAAACCATGACATGCTGGGAGGACACATCACGGGAGCACAATGGGAGGACGAGAGAGCCCAGCTCGAGAAGAGAGGCCTGGCCCCAAGCCTGACTCTTACTGTGCCCAGTTGCTATTTGATTTGGGGTTCATCATTTACCTCTCTCTGGGCCTCAGTGTCCTCATCTGGAAATTAGGTTCAGAATACTTCAATGCCCTAGGTATGTTGTAGATAATCCCACCACGAAACACATAAAAGTGTAAGGTACTATACAGATTCAAAGAGTCATCATAAAGAAACTGAGTGGCTTTCAACTAATTAGAAACTCAGGCCTGTTCCACTGGAGTCATCAGGTACAGACCAAACCACCATATGACACAAACATCTATGATGGACTGAGACTAGGGAGGGGGAGACTGAGCCCAAAGCTCCCTTCCAGGACTTAGGTTCCCTAAATGCAAAGCCCAGATCTGGGGCAGAGGAGGCTGTGCCAAACACCTACCTCTCTCCCCACCTGCCAGGAAGTAGGTGCAGCGGTTGCCATCTGTCTGCAGCCCATCGTCATGGTCCCCCTGCACGTAAACCGTGGGCACGGGCAGGTCACGGCCCAGCACCTCCAACTCTTTGTGGAAATGACAGTTGGAGCAGTTTTGGAGGAAGCCAAACACCAGCAAGTTTGTGATGCGCTCATCCTGGAGGCCTGAACCATTGCTGACCTAAGATAAAAAGGGAGTCAGGGAGATGTGTAGGAACCCGATCCAGGGCCAGAGGCCCTGTCTGCAGCTGAACTTGGCGGAAGGGCTCTGGGGACAGCTGGGCCTGAAATATCTTACTGGCCTAAGATGTCCAAATGACCCTGTGGGTGCAAGAGGACCCAGTTAGCAGAGGCCAAGTCTGCAGTGCCTGCTTCAAGCAGTTCCCCCAGTAGGTGCCAAAGAAAAAGCTCCAATTCTGCAGACATTTGCATGACATCCTGAAAACATTGAGCTGAGGTGGGCTTGCTTTTGGAGGAGGAAGTTCCAAAGGCTGTTTTAGGGAAGTCAGCAAATATCATCATTACATCCTTACACTTACATGCTTCTGCTAACTCCCATGTATCCTTTAGCAACTTCAGCCCACCCTACCAGCTATGCATCCAGCAGTTAGAAGCTCTTTCTTTTTCATAATCTCCTTTGTGGGCTAAGACGGTATTGTGCAACCAGCCGATTTTCCATAAATCCTGGGCAGTAGTGACCGCAGATAATGCCTCCCTTTGGGCAGGCTTGGCTTGCTTTGGGAGTATATGCCCCTTAACCACAATCCGGCTGTGTGAGGATGGCTCCCGCTCTAACGCAAGGGATTGGGGGCTCTGCCCGCCAGCTCCATCCGCCAGCACCACTTGCTGCGGGAGCTCAGCTCAGCATATGCACTCTGGGAGCCAGGAGGGACGTTTCTGGGGTTACTGACTGCACCTGGGTCAGTGTTCTTGGCAAACAAAGGTGAGTGCTTGTACCACCAGCAGCCAGCTGTGCTCAGAGCAAGCCAAGACCTAGGATGAAAGAGGCAATCATCCAGAAGGCTAGGGATACTGAGATCTCCCAGGTAAATGTAACACACACACACACTCGGCTGTAAGAGAAGCTCAGTAGAAGATGAAGGTGCCGATAACATTTATTTGTCTTCTAAGTCCTGAATATTTTTCATTTAAAAAATTCAGAAACCTTTTAGGATAGTTTTTAGAGGGCAGATTGTTTTAAATAAATGAAATGCATAAAACAAGGTGCTTATGTATGGTTATTCAGCCTTTCCTTCTCCAGAATTATTTCTTAAAAGGGGGGAATAGGGGCACCTGGGTGGCTCAGTCCTTAAGCGTCTGCCTTCGGCTCAGGTCATGGTCCCAGGGTCCTGGGATCAAGCCCCACATCGGGCTCCCTGCTCAGCGGGAAGCCTGCTTCTCCCTTTCCCACTCCCCCTGCTTGTGTTCCTTCTCTCACTGTGTCTCTCTCTGTCAAATAAATAAATAAAATCTTTAAAAAAAAAAGGGGGGGGGAATATCATGTAAAAGCTCTGCTGGATCGAATCCTTACAATTCCGGTATGGTGAGGCCAGGCAGCAAAAGACAGCTTAGAAACTCAAGAATATCCTTCATTTCTACCTGAAGGAGAAGTCCTGGCTAGGAGAGAAGAAAGGAGGACTGGGGCAAGGTTGTGGGCTGAGTTACCACACACTCAAATGTTCAGTACCAGCTGGTTATAAAGCAGTGGGACAGACACTATTAGATGGGCAGGTCAAGAACAGGCCAGACTAAACCACGTATCAGAAAGTAGGCTCAAGAGCTGATAGTATTTAATTCCAAGAACATATAGAGCTTGTGACAAACAATATTTTCATATGACTATGACTTTTTCTTTTAAAAAAGATTTATTCATTTGAGAGAGAGAGAGAGAGAGAGAGCACAAGTGGGAGGAGCAGAGGCAGAGGGAGAGAGACTCTCAAGCAGACTCCCCACTGAGCGCGGTGCCCACCATGGGGCTGGATCTCATGACCTGAGCTGAGCTGGACGCTCAACTTACTATGCCACCCAGGTGCCCAACTGTGACTCTTTCTGATCTTCTAGTGATAAAAGTTGAAATGGATGTCTCAGAAGATGCAAGATTTGATAGCTATTTATCCTTTTAAATCACAGGGAAAAGTA